TAATCGCTTAGTAACTCAGCGATAATTGATCACGGTTATCTTTTGAGAAGAGGGAGTGGAAACTAACGACTTCTTCCCATACTTTGAATAGAGTTGCCGATGAAGCAGTCGTTGCGTGCATGACAGAGCTAATAAAAAACAATTAGTGGTCATTCGCTTGGCCCACATGCTAAGAGGTCACGTCTTAAGCTTGTATCACAAACCATAAAACCTTCAGAAAAGTTTCAGAAGCAAACTAGGAAAGTTTTTCCTGCATATCGCAACCTCTTGGATTAGCGTCCCAGTGAACTTTCCGTCTACTCCACAACGAAATCACACACAAAGCGATCGGCTCGCACTAACGAACTCTGCATTCGCATGGAATACGTGAACTGATAAAGCCTTAGAAGTGCTAGAGAATCACTGAAGTCTAACCTCTTGGAGTATAAAACCTGGGTATTGTTGCAATCAAAATTCAAAACTGTGTATGTCGCTTGTTTCTTTAACTATAAATTTCTCATGCTGAGGTCAATAGACTTCATACATAAGACTTCCATACTTAACAGGGCGTGTATGATAAAGAATTACTGATGTAGGATCATTTGTTTGCGCCCGGTACATGCTGGTCGCTGATTTTTATCAGAGGTTAAAGCGGGATCATCATTTGAGCGCCGTTACAGGCTGAGAAATATGATCCCTTCAGACATTATTTATTTGATTTGTAATAGAGAGTCCTGTAACAGCAATGTCTTAAGAGGCCATCCCAGTTCTGATATTAGTGCTGGATTTTGATTAAATGTCCTAAGATGTAAAAGAATTAGAACCTCAATAAAATCCTCATATCCCCGCTGAAAGAGTATGGTTTCCGAATCCACAAGATTGCATTTCTTCCCTAATGTGGCACTTCGCGTGGTTTCAACAGCTTTTATGCCTGAAAGTAAGAGGAAGGGTTTGTTGATCGCTTGTAATTTTGACCGCTGTATGACTGGCAAATTTGCCAAAAAACATGAGAAAGAACTTGGGAATCTTGGCAATGTGTCCTCCTCAACATTACTTTTGGGCTGTTCCTCTAGTGTTGATCTAGTGTCAATTTAAATCTTAACCCTACGATGTTCCCAGTCCTTTTTCACGACAAGTAAACCTAGTCTTCATTTGTGGATTAGTAGACGCTACATGATTGCCCAATTAAACTTTACTCGCTAAACAATATTCACGAGATATTTCGGGCCCGCTTATCACAGGCTTCTTTTCTGACCGGGAATTAAGACCTCAATGGGTGAGAAGGCTGGATCTCCTGAATCTACTCCCCACTGAGTGATATTCGGCAATGTCGTTGGGCTGTATTAAACAAGGTTACTCAGATAAATCTGTCAAGTAAAGAGGGTGGTAAGCATTCAAGCGCAGCATACTATGTGTGTTCCCAGGGCAATTTGAAGTTGTGGAAAGCACTGGTGGGCAAACTCAGAGTAAGTTGCCGGGTTCCCGGCATGAAAGATAGTTCGCTTAGAGAGTATTTTGAGTTGCGGAAGCCGAGTTACACCCACGCAGTGAATTGGTCTATTGAGAAGAGCTGAATAGCACTCAAGGCGTAGATATACGGGAATCGCGCGCCAGTGGCAACTATTCTTCGAGCACTCCATAAGGGGTTGAAACGCGGAAACGTCGGTAGATGAGGGCTGTACTGTGACTGACTACAACCCGAACTCATGGGAATTCACTTCATGACCTGTGTTTCGTGTGCCAAATGAACCAACGAAACAACTAACTAAACAGTTTTGGCTGGTCCAATTAAGGATCGAACATTTGGATAAGGTCAAGCTGAACAAGCAGTTGAAGAAACAGGAAACCGAAAGTCAGAATCCGCTGCCCGATTAGTGTTCCACTTCGTGTGTTCTGCTTTGGTTACTCTACGTCTCAGGTTGGAATCCCCTATGGACTGATATCAGTTGGAAGAGCATTAGAAACCTGGGAGCACAGATGTCAGTCTAAGATGGATGTTTGCCTGAGATCACTAACCTGAATTACTCCAGGTCTATTTAACATAACTAAAGCAAAACGGCATCAAACGGGCAATCTGATCATATGTACAGCTAGACTCGACATAAAATGCTCAGTCTATACATTATTGATGGAACCGGAAAGCAGGAAATCACTGCTAATTTATATGAAATGTAGGTGGAAATGCCATACTGAATGGCATAGGTTAAGCATCCTACAGATGAGGCCTAATAATTAGGTCTGCATATGCAATTTAAATTATTCGCCGGATCTACAGTGACTAGAAAGTGTCCTAGGTTGACAAGCTGGGCGAAGGCTTCAACGTATGATTATTGAAAACCTCTACTGTTCCATATGCGATGTTTCCACACCCCTTATGCATTCTCCGATCACTTCAGAAGCCTCAATTCATTGACACCTGAATTACACACCTCTGATAGTATTATGACTTGTCTAAAAAGTCTCATACGACGGCCTCTACTATGTGACGTCTCACGCACACTGCTTCAGTAGAGCTTGCAAGCAATATACACTGAAACCTTCATAATTAAATCTTATTTCTTTTTAGTGGCTGAAAAGCTACCAGTCTCTTACAACAGACAGCATAAGTAGTAAGAAAAGTAAATAGCATTCAGTTTTCTGACATTTGACCAGCTATCTCCGAGTGATTGGGTTTTATGATTATATTTACCTTCACCACATTCACCTAGACTAGGTGAGTGGTCAGAAACGGGCTCAGCCAAATGGTCACCACCATACTGTTTACCTTAAAACAACGTTACTCGGACATTCGGATTTATTTCGTCAAGGAGTATCTTAAAGCCTAGCAGGTAGCTCTGTATACATGGATTCGCAATAAACGTCGTGCTTCTGAAACGTTTGAAGAAATGTCACTCAAGCACCCACAGAAGTCTAATACATTAAAAGATACTTCAGTATTTAGAATTGAACTGGAGTTAGAGATTACTGTGGATGCACACCTGACTCCATGTGTGTGTATACGAGCAAAAATCACGCATTCGTAGCACTACAAAGGCTTCTGAACAACCACCATCAGGCAAGATGAAATCAGGTGCAAGAGAAGATAGGGAGGGATGCATTGAAAATCCAATCCAGATGAAAAGCTACAGCCAGTCAATCTAAAAGTATTAGCAAAAAATGAGAAACACATTACTAATGGCAAATGTCCAAGTGCAAGCAACACAGAAAACTGAAACGATCACTACTATCTGAGGCCAGCACTTAGATCATATAAACTGAGTGACTTTTTGAGCAGTGAGCCTGGAGTAGTAACTTTAAAAGCCAAGTTACACATAGCTTACCGGGTAAAATGAACCTTTAACGTACTTCTAAATCTCTATGGGCCACTTCTTCCACTTATAAGCTTAAGTGCTCCTGTATCAAAACAATTTATTGCTAGTTTAGCAATTCTCTTTACGCAAACTTGCCAGACACAAAGGCCGATCTCTGATTCTTTGCGCTTATAGACAATGCACCAGTGAGAGAAATGGAAGGAAACCAGTGGTGTACTCAGGTATGGATGACACATTTGATGAACCCTGCCAAAATATCTGCACCTTTCGACTAAATGGCGGCAGGATAACGCACGAGCAAAGAAGGATAACATGACAACGAGTCAAATAAAGTGGATGCTTAACTCCATACCTTCAATTTTACCACTTTGTTAAAACTGTGGGGGGAAATAGTCAGTGTTGAATCTTCTAGAACCCTAATCCATTGGCTTTCAAAACTTGATTCTGGCTTCATCTCCACTCCTAATATGTGTCTCAGACCTTCCAAATAACGTAATTTATTGAACGAGGCATGCCGGATATTACCTGCAAACCCCATAAGTGCGGCCTGTCAGCAAACTTCCTTCAGACACGTCACCATCTTTTGGCTGCAATCAGGCTAAACAAATAAATTACGTCTCAGTTTGCCGTGATAACAGTGTGATCGCTCCTTTCATACCAGTCATGGCATACTTGGATCCTAGTTGTCAGCAGATATTTACCTCTTCCAAGAGGGTTTGGGGCAAAATAAAAAGATAGCTTTCACCAGGCATGGCCTGAAATTCTCATCCTCGGATTTCAGTCCATTCAGTAAAAGCATTACGAGGATAGATCATAGTATCTATTTTTTATCTTTCTGTCAGCCGTAAAGTGAGTGTCTACTTCCTGCCAGCTTGCAAGATGATGCTCATTTCCAGTCGCTGAAATAGGAGAACACAATCCGGCGACCACTGAGGTAACCTCACGGGAAAAATGAACAGAGTTGCATGTCGAAGAATGAAGACCCACGTGTGGCCTTATTCCTGTGTTTGGGTGTGCAGCCACTGGAAAAAGGTATTCTTTCAGGTTATCACCTCTGATGGGGGATTAAAGAAAAAGTCAGGAAGCTGAGCGGTGACCTAGATCACGCCCGTCCCGTTGAGATACGAAGTAACCTAAGGTGAGCAGCTGTCATAGAATCAGTTACCTTCAAACACATCCTATTTTAATATCATTACTATTATGGCCACGGCTCAGACTTTCATTTCTTCGTAAGAATGCGCTTACCACCCTCATCTCCAGAACAAGTCATACAATCCCCTGCAAATTTAACAATCATACAATTCCCACTAAATGTGCTAGATCTATATCAGGCGGGTGACTGGATCAGGTACATGCTAGCAAAGACCTGAGCAGCCCAAAAAAACCTAGAAATTGATCGTAAATAAGTCACATAATTTATACAAGCTCGTAAAATAGATAATATGTATTCCAGCAGTCTTTGAAGAACACCGCATGTAATTCCAACTAAAAGTTTTGTAACAAACAGCATCATTGTTTAGATTCCTCTCAAGTTCTGTGAAAATCCGAATCACAACAGCAACTGAACACGTTTAGAAACCAAATAAAACCATTCTCAGTCCTTCTCAGTCATTTGTTTCCTTTACCCAAGCCATATGACACATTGAATTCATGAGTTGTTGAAATGTGTCATATTGTGTTCACAAGAAGGTAAGCGCGTCTGGCTGAGGCATGGTGAGTTTGTTTGGGTATTCTAAATTCTTTAGGCCATCGTTAAATTGGTTAAGAATAAGGCTTACTTCAAACGATTCCAAGTTAAGTTCAGAAGGCGAAGAGGTAAGGTTTGACTGTATCTCGTCTTGAGGTAATCTGTTCAGAGGGCAAAACTGACTATTATGCTCGCAAACGCTTAATATGGCAAGACAAAAACAAGTATAATACACCAAAATACAGACTTGTGGTGCGCTTTACAAACAGAGATATAATTTGTCAGGTTAGTTACTTGCTGCTTATGATCACTGTTTAGATTGTCTACGCTCGCATTGATGGAGATCGAGTCCTGAGCTCTGCCTATGCCCATGAATTACCGAGATACGGTGTCAAGGTGGGACTAACCAATTATGCTGCTGCATACTGTACTGGTCTTCTCTGCGCCAGACGTGTTTTAAAACAACTTGGTTTGGACGGCCTTTATGCAGGAGTTGAGAAGGCTGATGGTCAGGAGTACCATGTGGAATCTGTCGATGGCCAAAAGTCAGCTTTTAGATGTCATCTAGATATTGGCCTCGCAAGAACAACATCTGGTGCTAACGTCTTTGGCGCCCTTAAGGGTGCTGTAGACGGTGGTCTGGATATCCCGTATTCTCCAAGCAGGTTTCCAGGTTATGACCAGGAGTCTAAAGAATACAACCCTGAAGTTCACCGGGCGAGAATATTAGGCCACCATGTTTCTGAGTACATGAAGCAACTTCAGGAGGAAAGTGAAGTTGACTACAATCGACAATTCAGTGGTTACATCAAGCACGGTATCACTGCTGATAGTATTGAGGCTATGTATTTGTCTGCACATGCTGCTATTCGAGCCGATCCCTCCGCTGTTGTCCACGAAAAGAAGGAAGTAAAACCGAAGAGATATAACCGCAAGAAAATGTCTTACAAACAGAAGAAAAAACGTATTAGTCAGAAAAAAGAACATTATCTTTCTCAGCTTAAAAAGGAAATCGCTGCAGCTGAGTAACTGGTTTGTATAATATATGTTTTCGGAACGAAATTCATGCGTATTCTGTCAAGTACAAATGCCTAGCGTTTTCTCGACGGAATTGTTGCTTTCTCTCGCTAAGCATTACCTTGAAAAATTGTTTGGTGGTTTTATAAGCAGTATCGAGTACATCATAAATCAATATCCTAAGCTTGGTCTCATTCCTGCACTTTGCATTTGTGGTGTGCTGACATCCAGTCCACTGACTTGTCAACAACTAACTAGGCGCGCTTTGTCAATAAATACTGTGGGCATGGTGATATACGGTTGAATTTTCGTCATTTCTCGTGTCCTAAGAAGTTACTTTTGTCATTCGGAACTTGAATTATATCGGGATTTAGTAACGGTACCTACCTTTGTTGGTGTCTCTTGAATCAGTGTTCTGTGTTCAGTGCTGTTGTCCTAGATTCACAATGTTAACGATTTGTTAATAAATCGAAATCACCTGAAAGGGTTAGGGTCAGTGACTGGTGTGGTGAATAAGTGTAGTCAGAACCTCGTTAGCAAGGACGACAAGCGGCAGCAAAATGTCGCCCTTTACTCATTTATGCTCTCATCCATCATCCTGAACGTCATTGTCATACATCCTTCTTATTGCTTGTGTGTTATAATTCCTTTCTGTCTAGATTGTCGTTTTGGAATTTGAAGTACAGCATTTTTCGCATCTTAAAAGCGCAATGGCTCTAAGTTCCTGACATCTGGTTGTTTTCCGGTCTTTAACGTTCAATGCATGCATCTTGGCCCAAGTTGAATACAGCCAGCTGTTTAATAAGCTACTCTGAAGCCGTACCTCATCAGTACCAATCAGAATTCGATTCATTCCCGATTTTCGTATTTGGCTTAGCGTTTACTTTGAGTTGTTTTCTAAAAACTGTTCTGTTAACGATCAGAATCATTCCCTGAGCATTCAAACGACTTCATTTGTTTATTGCAGCTGATTTGAAATTCACCTGGCCTCACGCATATAGTTTCATATTTTTTGGAGTAGGATTGTTGCCTACCCCTCCCACTTCGTAACCAACCGTCATTATTTTCTTAGCAGGATTTTTTTCCTAAGAGTGGAACTTTTTTTGCAGAAAAGAGGATGACTAGTCGAATTTCTGAGAAACTTGGTAATCAAAAGTACGGAGCCAATGCCTGAACTTAATTTTGGGCAGATTTATTTAGTCAGAAAAATGTATTCAGCGGTGAAAACAGTCTCAGCTCCACGCCTAAGCTATCATATCCTGCTGCTTTATGCTTCAATGGTCTTAAGGTTCCTGAGTGGTTTGTTACATAAAGTTACTATTCCGGGCACAAGTATATGTTGCCTGTAATAAACTAATTACGAAAGTATGCATCACAATGTTTGTTCTGTTCCACTAAAGTGTTCAAGAATGGACGTGTGTCTGGTGTAACTTCGGAAATAACCTCTTAACAGGTTGTCATTTACCTTGTATCCTCTGTTTTGTAGTGGGGTCTGTGCTAGCCTTTTCCCAAGTGCAAACTAGTGCTGCATGGGTTTGTAAGCATACGCGTTATCTCAATGGTAGAACATTAATCCGTTCAGTGGCTTAGTTCTGCTGCCTGAGGTTCACGTAATCGTAGTGACCATGTGATAGTTTAACCTCCACATAAATAGGCATGGAGAAACAACCAGGATGCCGTTAATCCTTAAGTGGCTTTGACATGCTGCGCATGCCGAGTCATAGCCTACATCTTAATGCAATGATACAGTTACTGGGTCCGGTTAAGAGAGGGTTCAAGGTGGCCAGACAAAGATGTGACATCAGTGTATTTGGTCTCGGACTGTTGATCTGAAAAGTGTTGGGTGGTTTGGGCTGCTTGGCTAGGGTCTCTGAGAAGATAAGAATCTTTGTTTGGGTACTCTTGGTGAGAAAGCCTAAGGTCGGTCACAATAACCCAGATGCATTCACCCTTTGGTGTCTTCTAAAGCTTGAATGTTCCGACTAATCTTGATTCTTAATTTTCCTTTGCGCGTGCCATTGTGTACCTTGATACCAGTCTTTCTATCAACTTGTTTTTTGTATACTACTGTGAAATGAAGCAACTTGAACCCATACATTTCTGTGCAAAGTTCTACGTTGCTTTTGTCCATCAGTCTGACTGAGACGTAGGGATCGTTACTGCATACTCGCAGTTGTGAAATCTGCTAGTAGCCTGTAACGATTAAGGACAGCAAGTCTTGCACAAAAAGGTACTTAAGAATTATGTTCGGGAACTATTCTGATTTACTGAAATGTTATCTGAGGTATAGTAAGATATTCTCCTCTCCAACTGGTCCAAGTCCTCAAGAAATAGAAAGCGACTTGTTAGTTAGTTAGCATCCTGGGTTCCAGAATCAATAAACTCGGAAATAGACCACCCAAGTTTCAGAGTTTCTCGTCGGTGCACGGACCTTATGTTCACGCTAACACCCTGCATCAGACACTGGAAAGTAACACTAGCTGTTTTTTTATTGGCTGGAAGACCTCATACTTCTCAATTTATTGTAAACATTTGTAGTGGCCATTTGCACACAATGTTGTTCTTCAGTTTTGATACCTCAGCGTTTTTAAATAGTCATTACAAATATATTTATAATTAATTGACTCCATAATGCATACATTTTCAATGGATATGATTCATACTACTCTTTCGATAGAAAGGTCTTGTGATAGTATCTCTATGAAAGGGGTACTGGGTGCGTATAACGCGCTGATGACATTGGCCATTAGTTTTGTTGCGATCATGTCAGCAACGTAAAAATCAGGTGGAAAAGGAAAGTCAGTGAAGTTGTGACCTTCCGTCGACTGGGACATGTGTTACGAATACCTAGTCTCACAATCCTGAGTACTATGATCCATCTACTGAGTACTGAGTACCAAGGTTATTGTATTCTACTACACTTTTGCGCTAACCAACTTCCAGATTTATCATCAAATCAACGACTTACCCTCTAAACTCTCGTGTGATTGAAAATTAACAGTAACGTTCTGATCAGTTCCGGCAGATTCCATGCCTCTGACCGTAATGAACGAAATTGAATGAGAGTGGCAGTGACTGCGAGCATCTGTGGGTGGAGAAAGTAATGAAGGTCTTACCAGTTATTTAGTAGGAAAACTGGCTTGAAAAAGATGGTCAGTCATCGCCAATGACGAAGGCTGGTCGCCAATTACCTCTCAATATAAACGGGTGTAACATTTTGAGGTACAGATCAACCTATCTACAGCCACGCTTCAGTTGCCCACCATTCACCCCGACCCTGAATGTAAAGTGGACGTCGGTTCTCCGCCATGCAGTCAAGTTAGAAATGTTGTTTTGAACCGAAGACCACAAAACAGCAGGAAATGACGAACACAGGAGTGTTTAAAGATTTGGGTTGAGAATAATGTAATGGCGTAACTGGAATATTGACTGAGGTTATGACAACCACATGGTTATCCTTCCTGTCTAGTTTTTTCATAGATTTCTTGATGAGCATCTCTGACATCTGAGGGACTCACATTTCTTGGAGAGTAGCTGGTTGACTTAGAGCACATATTTAGTGAAGATGCTGATAAAACAGTCCCTGGATCCCTTGAGCATTATTAACCTGTAGAGTACTTCAGGACCTGTAAACACTAGACCATAGTCTGAAGATAAAGGACAAAATTGTAAAATATGTTGAACAATTTACCTTAGTGAGTTTACTTTGACGAAATCTCACCTCGATTATGATAGACATCTCGCACTTGCCGAAATACGCTATGCACAAAGTTGGCGATGCATGTGATTACATATTGAATGGATGGGTTTACTTCGTTGTATTTCACTACTTCATACTGCGTACTTACAGAAAACGGCTTTGTGGAGCAGATATGAAAGTCACGGATTTTTTAGACTATGGGTCTTTTTTAACATTGCTGGCTTCTGGGAAGATCAACATGAGCACTGACGAGGTTTTGCACTGAGTAATAACGAAGAAAGGTAATTTAGCCCATGGGGTTGTGAACCTACACCAACTGAGATGGCCTGAAAGTGTGTTCCGCATGTCAAGTCATCCCTACCTCGACGTATGATGTCAGCTCATATAGGATTAGCTTGGGAGAAGGTCATCAGTATCAACATAGGACCAGGCATTACTGCGTAACGGTCCGAGTTGCCACACTTCATCACACATCAGTACATCAAGTAAAAAGGTAGTGAGGTGAAGGACGAAGAGAAACGGATATCACGGCGGCGCTTGGGTGGCGTAAATTGGCAAAGCTAATCAAGCTTTTTGTATCCGTGCAGAGATTTCATCGGCAACTAACCCACCAGGGCTGATCCTACTTCCCAGGTAAGTGAAGTGGTCTACACACTCGAGCACTTCACTCTCTGTTGTTAGCCGCGGCACTGCTGAAGACCAGTCCTGCAGCAAAAATTTGCATTTGGGTGGTGAGAAACCGCATCCCAAACATTCTCAAATTTCCACTCAGAGTGTTCAGAAGATTCTGCATCTTGTCAGCGTCTTCACTTAACAGAACTATGTCATCTGCATATTCTAGATCTAAAGAAAATTCACCTGTGATTAGGTCAACGTCTGTGTAATAAGGTGACGAGAGGGAAACCATAAGAATATCTATGATAAAATTAAATAAGAATGGGGATAGTGGGCATCCTTGACGGACACCACTCGATGAGTATAGCTCCCTGGACAACTCACCATAGGCTCTAACATGCCCACAAGTGTTCGAGTAGAGAGCTTTCAATAAGGTGATGTACTTACTAGGCACGCCTTTCAGTGACAGACATTGCCATAAGACTTCTCGATCAACGGAGTCAAATGCCGCCTTCAGGTCGAGAAATACAGCTATTGTCGGGCGTCTGTAAGCATGCCTATGTTCCAGGACCTGGCGCAGTGTGAATATTTGGTCGATACATCCACGGCCAGGTCTAAAGCCTGCCTGGTTTTCTCGGGCTTGCTGTTCCCGAGCTCCACTCAGGCGTCGGAGAACTTAGGATTTTGGACACTATGTTCGTCAGGCTGATTCCTCTGTGGTTATCACAAG